TGCACCTTCTCGCCACGCAGTATGTCGTTTTTCAAGTCCATACCAACATTATTATATTATAAACTTTCGTTTTTGTTGACTGAAGGAGCTTGACTTGTATTTTCTTTAGTCGAGCGATAACGTTAATATGTTAGTTGTTAGATTAGTCATCGACATGATTCAAACTCACGCTGTCATACAATGACACAACATATTTTCACTGATGTAGTAAAGGGCGTGTTTAGGTAACACAACCATTGCCATTTTTTCAATTGTCTTCTGAACCACTCAGTGCCATAACGGTGGATACCGCCGTGACAACCCACGAAGCCTCCTTTATTTTGCCCGTCAACGTTTTGTCGGGCTAATGCAGCACCGGAATAACTTAGACGCTGTTCCCTTAAAATATGACTAAGAGCAAGTGCAGGATGGTCGTAGGTAACGGTAACAAACTTCCAAAATTCTAAGATTGCATACAGACTGTCCGCAAGAAGCCTTTCACCGGCAAGCTTGCTATAGTTTTGCAGATTCTCGATCCAGTTACAAACTTCCTCCACCAACTTGACCAGAGATATGTATATATACTTGACTTGACTTGACATGTTAGTAGCAGATGAGTAACTGTTTCTTTGGGTCTACTCACTAGGTATGTCTTGAGTTCCTTTCTCAAGGGAATCTACCTTACGAGTGTTATCTGTCTTATTTTATTTATTATTATTAAATAAGTTTAACTTTTAAAATTTTGTTTCTTAATGACTAACTTTATCGAACATCGAGCAATATTTGCACTATTCTTAAAAGTCGGAACTTGATGTTAACGATTCAAACTGTTCATATTCTTCAATTCACTAAAAGAGCATGTTTTCAAAAAAGAAACTCGAAAAAACGGTTTCCGTTATAAAAAAAATTGGAGAAATTAGGATCCAGTCCTTAATTATTGATCTTCTTTGATTAAAACCTTGTTATTTTTTACTTTTTGATCAAGTCCTTGAAGTTTGTACACATTAGCATTTTATTATCAGTATACTTCCATGTCAGATTTTTATTTTTATTTTTATTAAAATAGTTAATTATTGCATTTTTTTTATCCGGGAATGCGTTTTTATTCCACGATGCCTCAAACGCCTCCTATGCTTACCAAACTGAATTGACGCATCCATTCCACCAACTAATCCAACTCACTTGATTTCTTCCCTTTTTGATTTTCATAACTGCAAATTCCACAATAATCTCACTAAGTTTTTCAAATCCATCATTATTATCTTTGATATGATGCTTCAAATTCAAGTTTAGCCAAGATTTGAATCGAAGTCATACTTTATTTGCGAGCATTCAAGCGAGCGCAGTTTTTTGCAGAGTAACTTGAAGAATCAATGAGAATTCCGAGCTAAAATTCAAGGTTTTTTTTTTTTTTTTTTTTTTCATTTTTTGAATTTGCACCCATAGTTCGTTTCTATTGATTTGTCCGCAATGGTGGATTCTTGGTGTTATAATTTTCGTACCCATATTTACAAGTAGTGTAGTATCGTTTTCACAATTGGTTTTGCATATGTAAAATGATTATTTTTCAATTTTTTTTTGGCATGTATTGGGGAACTTCAATGAGTTCAGCATGTATCTTGTGGTTTTGCAGTGTTTTTCTGGTGCATACCAAGTGTTTGTCGAAATGTTTGAAAGAGAATTTCGTATACGAAAATTTTGTATGCATAGAAATTGTTTATAAAAATTCTTGAATAAGTCTTTTTCTCTATTGTGGTGTGCATGGGTACAATTCAATTGCATTGTATACATTTTTTTAACAATGGTTCATGTGTTGGACACTACTAGAGTTGTAGATAGGAAGGGGTACAACAGAAAAACAGAGCAGATAAGTCATGGAGGACCAGCTAAGGTCGAGAGTTTTTGCCATCTACTTTTCTGTTTGACATATACTGTATTTTTTTGGGCCCCGGGGAGGGGGGGGGTGGGGTTCTTTTATCTTTTCAGATGGAAGGTGCTATAGTGGGGAGATGCACTCATCAAGGTACCACTATATCTATCTCAATTTTTTGCCACACTACATTCTCTGAAGTGTACAATGAGGTTTGCTCAAGGCTTAGTAATTTGACTCATAGTTTATTCGACTTTACGTATGCTTTACCTGGATATTCTACTTGTCTATTGCAATCTGATATGGACGTGCGGATGTTGTATATGTCGGTTGTCAACGAGAAATATTATTGTGTTGATATAGTTATCAACCAAAAGTCGTGCTGTGACAATGATCGTGTCAGCCGAAATACCAATACTTCACAAACATTTATAATTGAAGGAAATATTCACAGCGATGGCAATGAGTATTTAGGGAAATAAGCAACACAGAGAGGCAAGGTATATATGTCAAACTCTTGGAAGACCTACATTAATCATGTAAATCAAGGAGTTGAAGGCGGAGTGGAAGAATTCAGAGACAAACTTTGTAAGTATGCAGTTGAAATGGGATTCACATTTGTGTATGTGAAGAATGATAGGGAAAGAGTTACAGTTGTATGTAATAAGAAATATTCTGAAAGTTGTCAATGGCGTGTGCATGCATCAATATGTCATGTTAACAATTTCTTTTATATTAGGAGGTTGAATAACGAACACACTTGCACAGGCTGCATTCGTGAGAAAAAAAGTGGTATGATGAGTTCCAAATTTGTAGCTTCTACTATAGTTGAAAAGATCCAGACCAAACCCCGTATTATATTTCCTATTACAATGCATGGTATGGGAAAGAGATTGCAAAAACTAAAGTTCATGGTGATGATTCGTTGTCGTATTATCAAATGGTTTGGTACGTAGAAGCTGTTAAAAAAACAAATCCTGGATCTCATTGCGAATTGGAGTTTGACTAAAAAACCTTTCATTTCCAGCGGATATTCATTGCATTTGGTGATTCTATTGAAGGTTTTAAGTTTTGTAGGCCTATGTTGTTTGTGGATGGTACTTTCTTGAAAGACAAATACAAGGGAACATTGCTTGCTGCAATTGGTAAACATGGCAATCAAGTTATGCACATATCCCTTTAATTTTTCTATTTTAATAATTTGCTTAATAATAAATCTTCCTATTCAACCTAATCATGTAACGTCTTTCAAAATTTTGAAGATTCAGTACGTTTAACCTGATTATGTACATTGCTTACGACACATTTTTATTCATAAGTTTGGCATATACTGCTAACTACTAACTTTGGAATGTTTTAATTTGTTGGTTGAAGGATTCTTCCCTCTTGCATTCACATTAGTTGACGGTGAGGACCAAAATAATTGGACATGGTTTCTTAAAAATTTGGCTAAGATTTTGGAGCCACAACAACGTACCATAACTTTCATATCTGATTGACACAAGGGGTTGATTCCGGCTATGACACATACTTTTCCGGACTCCCCTCATGCATATTGTTTGTTTCACATCAAGCTAAACATATTAAAAAAGTTATCTTGCTAGTCTTGGATCTGTTTTTCGAAATAAAATTGTTCAAAAGTTTAATAAGTGTGCATATGCTACCACCCCCGAGATGTATGAATTGAAAATGGCAGCATTGGTCAAGGAAGGAGGTAATATAATGCGCAAATTTTTGAAGGATCTCCCAAAAGAGATTTTTTGCAATGCATTTTTCAAGGGTAAAAGGTAACAGTTCTTGTTAATTTACAATCTTCCATAACACAATACATGTTTCGTTTTTATTAATGCATGTGTCATTTTATTAAAAAACATGTAAATGACTCGTTGTTTCTACACTGTTTGATTTCTCTGTTTTGTCATATCACCAAATTATGGAGATTGCTTTTTATTATTTCAATGTGTTAGGTACGGGGAAATGTGATCGAACGTTGTAGAATCATTTAATGCCTGGATTAGTAACGAACGTCTCTTACCAATTTACCAATTGGTGGATGGTATAAGAATTAAGTTGATGGAAATGAATGCTGAAAGACATCTTGAGGCAAACAAATGGACCACTTTCTTATGTCTAGAAATGGAGGCTGAGATTGTTGCATCTATTGAGGTTGGGAGGCATTGGCTTGTTAGACGGTCTAGTGAGTGTGTGTTTGAAGTGCAAACCGATGATACTTCATTGATGGTTGACTTGGAAAGTCAAATTTGCTCATGTCAACAATGGCAGATAAAAGGCTTCCCTTGCTTACACGCACTTGCTGCAATCTCGAAAAATGGTGCAAATCCTTTTGATTACACTGATTACTACAAGTCTTCATATTCATTTCCAATTCAACCTGTTCCTCAAATAGATAAGCCTCCTATGAGTGAAGATACATAATTTATAGTGAAAACTCCTAAAACAAGGAGGCAACCTGGTAGAACAAGGATCAAGAGAATCAAATCTGTTGGGGATGAAGCAAGACCATTAGAGTGTGGTTGGTGTCATCAAGTGGACCATCACAATCAGAGGACTTGTTCAGTTCTAATATAAGCTTATGCTACTACTTCCATTGTTATTCTGACTTTGCATAATATTTTTACATTTAAGTTGTACACAATTTGAGCTTGGTGTGACAATTTTGCTTCTATTTTATGTATTCAAATTTGGTTTGTTTTTATTTAGAAATTTAGAAGTTGAGCTACAGAGCACAGGTTACAATACTGTTTGCATTGGCTACATTTTTTTAGTTCAGAGAACTTGTCCTTCCATTGTTGAAGGTGTAGTTTCTTTAGATCCCCCTTATTTTTGGCTCGAAGTTGAGCTACCAAGCTATTTACTTTACTTAGCAAAATGAAGAATGCCCGAATGATACCTCATGTTACCCCTCACACTTCTCGTGAGTGTGGGTGCAAATTAACACTATTAATTAACATTAACCAGTTTAGAAAAAAATTCAAGACGACGAGAATGTACCGATTGAGGTTGGGAATTAACACCCACACTCGAACTATACCTCATGTTACCCCCTCACACTTTTCGTGAGTGTGGGTGCAAATTAACACAATTAACTAACATTAACCAGTTTAGAAAAGTTTTCAAGATGTCGAGAACGTACCTAAGATGCTGATGTGGAAATATATTAACAGTAAAATGAGGTAACAAGAAACGAATTGATCATACAAAGTGTCCCAAAAAAAAAAAATCGAACTTTTCAAAAATCTAGCTTAACCCAAGCGACAAAATGCTAAAATCGAGCTGATCATACAAACCTTGAGAGTCGTAATCAATCGAGGCTGAGCACTCCCAGCTCAGAAGGCCAAGTGTCGCCATTGCTACAAGCGTAGTGACCAATAACCCCACCAACAAGCGATGTAACAAGAAACGAGTCGTCCGAGTCCAAGCATTTCTCCTGCAATCCCGATTTTGCCCCGAGAACCAGAACCAAGATCGACGCAATCCCACTGTTGGATAAGAGCTGCACCCAATTCCTCTGCCCACCCTCTCTGAAGTCGGCATCGACACGCCGCTTCTTGTCCTCCCCGACCTTGGTCAGCTTCGACGATGTGAAGAAGAACACCAGCAGCAGAGATCTGTATCTTCGAGGAGCAAAAGTGTGTTAGCAATAATAAGGCTATTTGGATGCCGAGAAAATGAAAGAAAGTGGAAAGAAAATTTGATACCTGTATCCGACGGCAATGTGGATGGTCATGACGGCAAAACCCGCGATTGCCCCTGAGGGGTCGAGTGATTTTCGTCAGGAGTAGAAATAGGTATCACCAACAACTGCTTCAGTGCTACATCATATGCGCATTTTGTAGTGAGAAATCCAAAAACCACAAATGTCAGTCCGATAACAGCGCCTGTAGCTGCCAGTAGTCCCGCTTTTGTAACTCCGCCATTGGTACCCTTCTGAACAGGCTGCCAATACAATGTGGAAACCCAAAATAGTATCCATAGTCTACGTATTCAAGCAGCCAGATAATTTCATTTTGTTCAAGCTTGACCAATACATTCCCCAAAACTCTATAAATCCCAATCATGACAGAACAAATACTTGATACCCTTAGTCTATAAGGCGATCGGTATTCTTTAGAGCAGTTCAAAGAATAAAAAGATGCACAATTAACACTCATAAGCAACGGCACGAACGTAACTAGGCTTTTAAAAGAAAGATGTGAGACGACAGGGAACTGCGAAAAAAATAATGATACATATGTTTGTGTGTTCATATGATAATTGAACTATTTATCGAGTTTAAGGAAACGTTTTCTAGCCAAGACTTTGATTATTAAGTACGAATGAGAAATTTACCTACACCGGGATGCCAGGTAGGTAACGCAGCTCAATCACGCTTAGCCATTCATTTTAACTTTCCAAAATGATTGTGAGTTATTAGATTTAAATACCGCCACAATAACATCCCGTTATGTAAGTTTCTCCAGCTCAAAATATCAATAGAAATGCGGGCACATGCAGCAAAGCGGAACAAGATTGGGAAAGAAAAAAAATTGAAACTTTTCAAAAATCTAGCTTAACCCAAGTGACAAAATGCTAAAATCGAGCTGATCATACAAACCTTGAGAGTCGTAATCAATCGAGGCTGGGCACTCCCAGCCCAGAAGACCAAGTGTCGCCATTGCTACAAGCATAGTGACCAATAGCCCCACCAACAAGCGATGTAACAAGAAACGAGTCGTCCGAGTCCAACCATTTCTCCTGCAATCCCGATTTTGCCCAGAGAACCGGAACCAAGATGGACGCAATCCCACTGTTGGATAAGACCTGCACCCAATTCCTCTGCCCACCCTCTCTGAAGTCGGCATCGACGCGCCGCTTCTTGTCTTCCCCGACCTTCGTCAGCTTCGACGATGTGAAGAAGAACACCAGCAGAAGAGATCCGTATCTTCGAGGAGCAAAAGTGTGTTAGCAATAATAAGGCTATTTGGATGCCGAGAAAATGAAAGAAAGTGGAAAGAAAATTTGATACCTGTATCCGACGGCAATGTGGATGGTCATGACGGCAAAACCCGCGATTGCCCCTGGGCCCTGAGGGGTCGAGTGATTTTCGTCGGTAGGACCTGGCGGGGATCAACAACGAGATTAGGACCGCGATTAGGGGTCGGATTAGGAGTTTATCCATGCTTATAGCTCTAAACTTGTGATTAAGTTTCGGGATTATGGTGGGAAAGAAGGAAACAAAGGGTGGAATGGGGAAGAATTTGTGTTCATTGTGTTCATTATGCACTGCGCCTAATGATGTTTAACATGCCCTGTTTGGTAGATCGGATAAAGGATCGGATAGGATTAGTTATACGGACCCGGGTGTTTGGCGTTCACTCGTACTAAATAAGCACCGGATTAATTTAACCGGTCGGATAGGATAATACGGTATACACCCGCTTAATAAAACCAACCAAAACGTTTGGATTATTTAGTCGGGGAAGAAGAATATGGGAGAGAAAGGGAGGGAGTTTGGGGGGTGTGGCGGAGAGAGCTGGGGAACAATTATTTGGGATTCTTCTATCGTCGGGGAAGAAGAAGGGAGAGAGAGGGAGGATGTTTGGGGGGTGCGAAGAGACCTGGGAACAAAAAAATGATTTCATTTTTTAAATTTTTTTTTTTTTAAAGTTTGATGCCTCCTATCTAGTATAATATCAAACACAGTATAAATAATACGGTCACTAGTCCGATACTGCACCAAACACCCGACTAATTTAGTCAGTACTATCCGGTGGCTATTTATCCTATCCGACAGAAATAGTCAGTAGGAAGATTAAATTTGTACACAAATTTACAAACTTCCAATAAGAATGAGCATTATCAATTCTTGAGTAATAACTTAATCATCAATTTTTATATCATTTAGTTTACAAAATGTTGTTCACAAATTTAGTCTTCCTAACATTACCTATATCATATAGGCTATATACATATGAAGAAAGACTTGTTACCCTAGCTGTGACGGTATTTCGAGACTACTCACACGTTGACATCATGCAATGTAAAGGTAGTGAAAGCCACGACAGTATTTCAAGACTAACCCCAAACTGACGCTCTGAAATCCTGCAATGTGATGGTCAGTGAAAAATTCAATTTTCAGGCGCGAAGTAGAGTATATTAGAGAAATTGTTGACAAGAATGTTATGAAATGGCTTCCAATTACAAACGAATTTGATGTGGCCAAGCACCCGGTTGGAATCAATTGTCGCGTTCAAGTTGTTATCACTCTTCTTTCATGCGGTGAATCGGATGTTGTTCGCATGGTTGGAATTTGGAGGATGGGTGGATTGGCAAAACAACAATTGCCAACGCCATTTATAACCAAATTCATGGTGGGTTCCAATTCAAAAGTTTCCTTTCCAGCGTCAGGGACACTACAAGTAAACCAGACGGTCTGGTTGATTTGCAAAAAACACTTATGTATGACATCTTGGCAAAGATGGCTGAAATAAGTAGTGTTGATCATGGTATCAGTCAGATAAAACTATAATGTGGACATAGAAAGGTACTTGTCATCATGGACAACATACATAAAGAGGATCAACTGGATGCAATAGTTGGAAATCACAATTGGTTTGGTCCAGGAAGTAGAATTATCATAACGACATGAGATAAACATTTATTAAAGAAAGTGGATGGGATATATCCAGCTCAGAAATTGAATGATGAAGAAGCTTTGGAGCTCTTTAGTTGGCATGCTTTTGGAAAGAGTTGGCCTAACGAAAATTATTGTCAACTCCCAAAAAAGGTTGTTTCTTACTGCAAAGGTTTGCCACTAACCCTTAAAGTTTTAGGTTCTTTTTTGAAGCTGAGAACCAAAGCAGAATGGGAAAGTCATTTGGAGAAATTAAAAAAAAATTCCAGATAGAGAGACAATAAAACGACTAAGAATAAGCTTTGAAGGGCTAGATGATTCGCAGAAGGTTATATTCCTTGACATATCTTGTTTCTTTATTGGATGGAGCAAGGAATATGTCGCAAAAGTATTAGATGGAACAATAGATATTAGCATTCTTTATGAACACTGCCTTATAACTATTGAACGCAATGTATTGAATATGCATGATTTGATTCAAGAAATGGCTAGAGAAATCATTTCTAAAAAATTCCCGGATCACCCTGGAAAATGGAGTAGGTTGTGGAATCTTCGAGAGGTCACAGACGTATTGACAAATGAATTATAAGTACATTTCCGATAAAATTTTGGATTATTGCATCTTACAAGAAAAGCATATATGTAACTGTTTGGGCCCAAAATATTATTGGGCCGAGTAGCAGGATGCGCTGGACCCAATGTAATGACAAATACTATGGGCCGAATAATGAAACTTGGGCCAGTTGGCAAGGTCGGCCAGATCCTATCCTAAGTAGTCCAGATGAATAGGAAAGGTCAAGGAAATCCTGGTGTGATCAGGATTCTCGACCAACGAGGAATAAAACCCCAAAAGGGAGGAAAATTCAGAATCCCAGTAGGAGTTGGATTATCCGAGTCAGAGGTGAAATGGGACAAGGACTCCTAATCTGAATCAGAACGCGAATTGATCTCAAGGAATTGGGTGCTATAAATACAAGAAATCACGTAATAGAAAGGACCTTCAACATCAGCACACAATTGCCCTGCGCAAAACCTCTCAAACACCTTGAGATTTTTCTTTTCTTTTCCTGCCGACACACCTTCAGTTTGGATAAACAGCACTGTGGAAGCAACCGGTGAGCACCTTCAGTTTGGATAAACAGCACTGCTGCCGCAGAATCAGCCGACCGAGAAACACCTTCAGTTTGGATAAACAGCACTGCGTCGAGGTCGACCGATTATCTATCTAAGTCTCGGCCGAGAAGGGTTTTCGAACCTTTGTTGGTAGAGGTCATCTGACTAAGCCTTTTCGGCATAGTTGGGTGTTACGAATTGCATTGCTCGGCGTATTGGACGCCGAGTGAGTTTATGATTGGATACTCGCAAGTAAGTTTCAGGGTTCGGCATTCCGACGGCCGAACTACGTTTACCATCAAGACATACATCACATTCGAGTACCTGTGCCCATATAGTTTGGTCTCGATTCGGCGCGCTTATACTCTTACGAATATAATCACAGTGACCGAATCAGGGTCCGACGACTTGTGAACTCTGTAGAATTAGTAGCCTTGTCTTCAGGCTATAGAACCCAGAGGCCGAGAGCGTTCCTTCCTCGGTCGCAATCGCAAGGTACAGAAGTCAATAGCGCACCCAACGCGACAACATCACATTTTACTCCTCGGCCGAGCTCGGCCGACGAGTTGGCACGCCCCGCATTCAACCGAAGGACGTAGTTAGCTCATTAGTTACTCGGCCTGCGCGCCACGTAGGCTTTGTAATTTTTAGGGTCAACAGTAACATACAGTATGTCTATTATAAATTAAACGACATTCACTTGTAAATATATGCATTTGCATTAAGAAGCTCAATTAGGCAAAATCACGTCAAATTATATGCAGATTATCCTTTTTCTTACTCAGTATAACCTTTTCTTTAACAGGAAACTGAAGATTTGTTCAAAAATCAAAAGGGGGAAACTGAAGAAGTTGTAGGACTAATTATCGATTTCCAAAGCTCGAACAATGCTAGTCTCAGTACAGTAGCATTTGCCAAAATGAAGAAATTGAAATTTCTCCAGCTATACCACGTACATCTCAATGGAGAATACAAACATCTTTCCAAAGAGTTAATGTGGTTGCGCTGGTATAGATGCCATTCGGAGTCCGTACCAGATGACTTTTTTAGTCAAGATAACCTAGTTTTTATAGATATGCAGTGGAGCAAACTGGTACAAGTTTGGGAGGGTTCCAAGGTACAATCAATTACACATGATCATGTTCTATTTCTATTTGTTTTTGGATTTCCTTCTTTTTTTAAATTTTTTTATGACATCTTCCCTTTGGATATTAATTTTACTTTTTCTTTGGTTTTCTGCAACAGTCGTTAGAGATGTTGAAATTCATAAATCTCAGTCATTCTAAATCCTTAAAAAAATCACTGGACTTTTCACAGGTCCCAGATCTTAAAGAGTTGATATTGGAAAACTGTGATAGGCTGTCCGAGATTCAACCCCTCATTGGTCAGCTTGAAAATCTCTCTTTCGTAAACCTTAGAAACTGTTACAGTCTTATTTCTCTTCCAAGGGGATTCTATACGTCGAAATCTGTTAAGACTCTTTGTCTTAATAATTGTCGGCAATTCAGTGAATTGCATGTGGATATAGGGGAGATGGAATCTTTGGAAATACTTGAAGCAGAGGATACAGCCATAAGACGTGTACCACCTTCCGTTTTTAGGTTGAACCTCCCTCGTTTATCTATAAGGTTTGGGTACTAGAATTTGGGCTAGAGAACACCATTCCATTTGGTGGCAAACCTCGATTGCCTCCAGATTAGAATATCATATTTCTTTTTCTTTTTTATTTCTTTTTTTCTTTCTGTGAGGAAACAAATTGTAATATAAGAATAAAACAACAAATTTGCATAATTGATCTTTTATACAATTTTGTACAAATGTTGGTTATGAACAGACTGAAAATTTAGAATCAATGAAGGGCTAAGGGACAAGATTAAGCTACTTCAGAATAGGGATGGACAGAATGCCCATGGGTTTGGGTAACCACAGTTATCCGCTCATTTAAGTTCGCGGTTATGGTTATGGGTAATTGTTTAGACGAACAAACGGTTATGGGTATAATCGTTTATCCGTGAAATTTAAATGGGCGGTTATGAGTATTACCCACGGTTATAACGAGTATCCATCGGTTATGGTTATTACCCAAGGTTATAACGGGTATCCATTGGTTATGGTTATTACCCGCAGTTATAACGGATATCCATTTACCCATTTAATTTAATATATGTAAAATTAAAAAAAAAAATTAAAAACCCTAAATTTTCAATCTCTTCGCCGAACTTAGAGTCTCAAATGCCCCATCCCCTGCTCATCTCTCCCTCCTTGTTGCCCTCTCTCTCATCTCCGAACCGATCCCGAAAGTTTCGGCTTGCGATTCGGCCACCTCTTTAAAAGGGTTCGGTAATCCCGAACTGACCGAATATTATAATATATATACATATATATATATATATATAACATAGGCATATATTAAATTAGAAGGCATACATGATACTGAAGCAGTAAACTATATATACACACACACACACACACACACACATTGAAGCAGTAAACAAAATGTTAAAAGGAAT